GGAAGAGTTTGAGAAGAATTTGTATTAAATCTCCTTTAGATGTTTGGTAGAATTCTCCTGTGAAACTGTCTGGTCCTGGGTTTGTCATATATGGCCTTTATTATATTGTTGGGAAGTGTTTGATTGCTGATTCAGTCTTCTGTTACTAATCTATTCAGATTTTCTATTTTTTCATGGTTAAGACTTGGTAGATTGTTTAGGAATTTATTTAATGTTCTATTTTTTCATGGTTAAGACTTGGTAGATTGTTTAGAAATTTATTTAATTTGATGATGTGTAATTGTTCATAGCAATCTCTTATGGTTCTTTGTATTTCTGTGGTATCAGTTGTAATATTTCTTCTTTCATTTATAATTTTATTAGAGTCCTCTCTTTTTCTTGGAAAGTCTAGCTAAAGGTTTGTCAATTTTGTTTATCTTTTGAAATAACAAACACTTAGTTTTGTTGATCTTCTCTATTGTTTTTCTATTCTCTATTTCTGCTTTGATGTTTCTCTCCTTTTTCTTGCTAACTTTGGGCTTAATTTGGTCTTCTTTTTCTAGTTCCAGTTCCTTGAGGTTGTCTATTTGAGATATTTTCTTCATGTTTCTTACCGCTATTAAATTCCCCCTTAAAACTGCTTTTGCTGCATCCGTAAGTTTTGGTATGTTGCGTTTCCATTTTTGTTTGTTTGAAGATATTTTGTTATTTCACCTTTGACCCATAAGTTGTTCAGGAGTGTGTTGTTTAATTTCCACATATTTGCGAATTTTCCAGTTTTCCTCCTGTTATTGATTTCTAGTTTTATACCATTTTGTTCATAAAAGATACTTGGTATCTTAAATTTGCTGAGACTTGTTTTGTGACCCAACATGAGTGTTATCCTGGAGAATGTTCCCTGTGCACTTGAGAAAAATGTGTATTCTGTTGCTTTTAGATGGAATGTTCTTTTAGGTCTATTTGGTCTAAAGCATAGTTCAAGTCCAATATTTACATATTGATTTTTTTTGTCTGGGTGATTTATCCATTGTGGAAAGAGGGATATTGAAGTCCTCTACTATTATTGTATTGTAGCTCTGTTAGTATTTGCTTAATCTATCTATGTGCTCTGATAGTGGATGTATATATGATTATGATTGTTATACCGCCTTGACGAATTGACCCCTTTATCATTATATAACAACCTTCTTTGTCTCTTGTTACAGTTTTTCACTTAAAGTCTATTTTTTTCTGATATAAGTATAGTTATCCTTGCTCTCTTTTGGTTTTCATGTGCGTGGAATATCTTTTACCAACTTTTACTTTGTTCCTATTTGTGTCCTTGTAGCTGGAGTGAATCTTCTCTAGGCAGCATATAGTTTGATCTTGTTTTTTATCCATTCAGCCACTCTGTGCTTTTTGATTGGAGAACTTAATCCATTTACATTTAAAGTTATTATTACTAAATAAGGATTTATTATTTCCATCTTTTTAATTGTTTTCTGGCTGTTTTGTAGTTCCTTTTTTCCTCTCTTGCTGTCTTCCTTTGTGAATTGACAATTTTATTTTCTTTCTTCTTCTCTTGCTGTCTTCCTTTATGAATTGATGATTTTCCATAGTGATATACAGGCATAATTTGTTTTATTGTGTTTTGCTTTATTGTGCTTCCCAGATATTGTATTTTTTTACAGATTGAAGGTTTGTGGCAACCATATATCAAGCAAGTCTACTGGGCCATTTTTCCAACAGCGTTTGCTCACTTCATGTTCCTGTGTCACGTTTTGATGATTCTCACAATATTTCAAACTTTTTCATTATAGTTGTTATAGTGATCTGTGATAAGTGATATTTGATGTTACCATTATAATTGTTTTGTGGTGCCATGAGCCATATCCATATAAGACAGCCAACTTAACTGATA